GAAGAAGAAGAAGAAGAAGAAGAAGAAGAAGAAGAAGAAGAAGAAGACTGTGAGATCCTTGAAGCTCTCTCAGTTTGGTTGTCCCAAAAGTGCTTTTCCAAAAAGCAACAGGATTTTCTTATTTTTCTTTGAGATTCTTTGAATCTCCATAGACTCCGTAGACAATGGTGCTTGCAGTCAGGAGGAGGAGGACTATGGGGTCCTTGGTGCTATCAAAACTTGGTGGTTTCCTTGCAGACGTTTCATGACCCAACTAGATAACATCATTAATGGTGGAAGAGAGTGAAGTTTGCAGAGAAGAGGACTGTGGAGTCCTTGGTGCTCTCTGAGCTTGTTCTCCTGTAGGCGTCTCACCACCCAACTATGTAACATCATCGGTGCTGCAAGGGAGTGGAGTTTGCAGAGAGGAGGAGAACTGTGGGATTCCTGGTGTTGTCTAAGCTTTGTGGTTTTCTTGCAGACGTTTTCATGACCCAACATCACCAGTACTAGAAGGGTTTGTTTTCATTTGAGCATCCCACTCCCTTGTAGCACTGATGATGTTACCTAGTTGGGTCATGAAATGTCTGCAAGAAAATCAAGCTTAGACAGCACCAAGGACCCCTCATATAAATTTTGTACATTTTTATATTTTTATATCTATCTATCTATCTATCTATCTATCTATCTATCTATCTATCTATCTATCTATCTATCTATCATCTATCTAAACATTGCAAAAAAATTCCGCCCTGAGGAGGGAAATTCTGCAACAGCAACAGCGCCCCCTCTGGCAGAACGGCTCTAAAAAAAACGAGCTCGGGGTTAAAAAAAACCCGCCGAGGGCGGGGAAAAGGCGCGAGGAGGCGAGGCGAAGTCCAATTCCAAACCATAGAGGAAGATCTATAGAAGGGCTTTCATTTCCTAGCTTCCTGTGGCTTGCTTTTTTCTTCTTTTTCCGCGAAGCCTAAGGGGCGGGGCCCTTCCCGCGTAAGAGCCGGGAAGCGGCGTCCTCATTGGTCAGGCTTGGCTGACGTCGCGGCGTTCCATTCGATGAGGCGCTTCGGCTTGACGGCCGACCGGAGCTGAAGCTCCCGCCGCTACTGCCGCCGCTGCTGCTGCTGCGGAGATGCGGCGGGGAAGGTGAGCCCTCCGACCTCGGTCCTTTCTTCCCGCTGTGGGGTGCATTTTCCGGATCGGTCGCCCCTGCTGTGGAGTGGGGTGACCCGTCTCGCCCCCCCCCCCCCGGCTTCCCGGGTCCGCTTTGGCGCACGTGACCCCGCCAGCTTTCCCTCTTTTTTTGGTCTGTTTTACACGTGTGAATGCTGTACACAGGAAAAGAAAGTGGGGATTTTATTTTATTTTGGCAGCCGAGTTGGAACCCGGCAAAGGGCAAGAGAGCGACGAATTGAGATGCCAAATGGCTTTGAAGTCATTGAAAGTCATTTTGTTTAAAAAAAAAAACGTGTCTAGGACTACGTAGGAATGGGGTGCAGGGAAAGGCAGGATGCCAAAGGGGGCTTGGGGTTTGCACCTTGGAAGATCCGGGTGGAAGGGGGCTTTGCAAACAGTTGCAATTGCACCCATGTGTTCATGTTTATGTGCTGATATATATATTTCTATAGGACCTATCAAGTTAAATCACCCTTTTTAAGTAGATTTACATTTGTGTGTGTGTGTATGGGGGCAGTGGGTTTTGTGCTTGCTTTGTATTTCCCCTTTTCCTAAGGCTTTGTTCCTTAATAAAATGGTTTAGCCAAGGGGTTCCTTGGTGCGGTGTGAGCTGGCTGGTTTACTTTGCAGAAAGAAACCCAACTAGGTAACATCAACATCGTGACCCAACTAGGTAACTTCATCAGTGCTAGTAAGGAGGGAGGTTTGAAGAGTAGAGGAGAAGGGGGGGGAGGATTGAGGGGTCCTTGGTGCTCTTTGAGCTGGCTTGTTTTGTTTGCAGACGATTTGTGACCCAACTAGGCAACATCATCAGTGGTTGGAGGGAGTGGGGTGTGTGGAGAGGAGGAGGAGGTGGGGAGAGGAAGGAGGGGGACTATGGAGGTTCTTGGTGCCCTTTGAGCTGGCTTGTTTTCTTTGCAGACATTTCATGACTCTACTAGGCAACATCACCAGTGCTAGATAGTAGATAGTAGAGATAGATAGGTGATGGATAGATGATACATAGCTAGGTAGATAAATAGAGATAATGGCAATAAAGGAGAATATTTCTAACTCAGGATTGAAATGAGAGGTCCTTGGTGCTCTCTTAAGATGACTTCTTTCCTTGCAGACGTTTCATTATCCAACTAGGCAACATCATCATCCATGCTGGGAGAGAGTGGGGTTTGTTGAGTGGAAGAGAAAACGAGAAAGGGACTGTAGGGTCCTTAGTGCCCTCTGTGCTTTGTGGTTAGCTTGCAGACGTCACCTGACCCAACTAGGTAACGTCTGGGTTAGTACAGGTAGTCCTCAAAATTGAGCCTAAAATTTACTCCATTAAGTGAGACATCTGAAGTGAATTTTGCCCCATTTTGCGATTTTTCTTGCCACCAGGGTTAATTGAGCAGCTCGAAATCGATTGAAATGTTGTTGCTTTTGAGTCAAACAGCCTTATATCGGTTTGCATTGGTTTACATCTGTCAATTGCAATTCCCTTTCTCTCCCCCCCCCCCACTGTTTGTCGTTGCAGTAAGACCATTCCAATGATTGCCAGGGAAATTAACACTGGTGTGCAATTCGGCAGATGTTGTGTTTGTGCGAGGTTTCTTCCTCTGTGCGCAAGGGAAGATGAGTGGTGTGATACGTTTTGGGCGGTAGCATTGTGAACTTCTTGTGTAGAAGCACCCCAAAATCTTACCATGATGATCTGTTAGGAAAAAAGATTGTTCAGAGTCTGTAGCTTATAATGTACTTGCTTATTACCATGGAAATTTATAATTTTCTCTGCGATGCTTTTAAAGGCTGTTTTTTTTTTTTTCAATTGTGGTTGTGATGTGAAAGTGGGAAAGATGACACATTTCCCCAAACAGCTCTTGGCAAATGTAATAAAATAACCTTTATTTATTGTCACTTTTTTCTCTGGACATATTAACACATATTAAAAAAATGAAATTCCGATGTCTGCTTCCGAAAGAATATATTAAAAAATGAAATTCTGATACCTGCTCTCAAAAGGATAGGTAGGCAGGCAGGCAGACAGACAGAAAGAGAGAGAGAGAGAGAGAGAAAGAGATGATTGTTAGACATATAGATTTAGATGATATATAGGATCATAGGTAGATAGGTAGATATCATCTATATCATTTAACTATCGATCTATCTATACCTGTATATTTATCTATCCTATGTCTAGCATCTATCGTCCCTATGTCTATCATCTGTCTGTCTATGTACACACACACACAAAAACGTATGAATGTATGTACATATGTATTATCACAGAGACCATTTAGAATACACTATGGAAAAAAAGAGTCTTGAAAGTTAACTAAGTTAATATTATGTGGTATAAAGCTATTACACAATCTAGTTGTTCTGCTTCGGATACCACGAAGCCCCCTCCCAGAAAGTTAACAAAACTGGGTCATAGAGAGACTGTGTAATGTCCACGACAATACCTCGAGTTAAAAACACACACTTTTGTTGGCCGACTTTTGGAGTGCGCTGACCGAGGGTGTAGGATTAAAGAGGGCATGCAAGAAGGTCCAGATATAAACGTTTTCTTCCCTATTTATTCCCCTTCACGGTTCTAGAACTACAAAATTAAAGATCGGCCGAGATCATTCCTTAAATCCTGGAATCTCAAAATTTTGTGAATTTCCTGCATGGGCTGTTGGGGAGAGAAACGTAACACGGCGAAGAAGGAAATAAAAATTAAATAAGGATCCCTAGACGTTGCTTTCCTCATTTTCATTTTAAAAGATGATTTGGCACTTGCTGATAGGCTCCTCCACTAGAGGTACACATTAGAAACGGACGCAGGTGAGTTGCTGAACAGGATTGCATTTGGCATTTAAAAAAAATGAAATGTCAATATCCCACACTGTTCACAGTTGAGTGCATTGCAACATTGGGGCTGTATAAGTTGGCATAGCCTCTGCTTTTCGCTTCTGTAACTCTTACACTTATTTAGTGCTTTTTAGAGAGCTAGTGTGTGCTAGGTGCTTTACTCATCCTTTACAAAAGGGGAATTAGGGTTAAAAATCTCTAGGTGTCAGGGCTCCCATTTAAATCATGAGTCTCGAGCAAAACTTAAAAAGGATTTATTGGGAGTTAACATGCCAGCACTGCCTGGGTATAGCCAACTCTGAGACACTTCATTCATTGTCACCCTTGACCCTGGTTTTCCCTCCACCCTCTGGGTATATCATAATTCATATTCTCCAATGGGACACCTCCCTAGCCCAGAGTCATCAATCAGGCTCTCCAGGTAGAATTTTGCGCAGCAGAAACTTTGGTCACGCTCCCTGACCAACTGCTGAATAGATCAAAATGATCTCCTGGACTTAGATCCTTACAGGTCTTTCTGAAGCTCTTATTTTTATAAGATCAACTAGTGTTAAACTCCAAAATCCTAACATTGCCCCCATCTTAGCTCTGCTGCTTACTGTGTAAACTTCATTGTCATATTTTGCAACACAAACCCATCTATTCTCCCGCTACTATCTTATAATAATTATCTATACTCATATGTCTGTCTATCTATCTAATCTTTATGTATGTATATCTATCTAATCTATATGTATGTATGTCTCTATATCTCTATCTCCGTATATCTCTGTCTGTCTGTCTGTCTATCTATCTATCTATCCATCCATCCATCGAATCTAATCTAATCTAATCTAATCTAATCTAATCTAATCTAATCTAATCTAATCTAATCTA